TGTGTGTGTGTGTGTGTGTGTGTGTGTGTGTTTTATTTTATTTCTTTCTTTCTTAGCACTTGTCCATCGTTACACATTGTGCCTTCAAACTTCTCACTCATGGTTTTGTCTGCAGGACCGCTGATGATCATCGTCGAGTACTGTCGCTTTGGAAACCTTTCAACTTTCTTAAAGAATAAAAGAAACGTTTACTCCCATAACCGGGTAAGTTCATCAGGGTCCTCTGTAATAAAATATGCATGAAGAAAACTGTGTGTCACTTTGCAGTCGGGTACTTTGTTTACATCTGCAGCTTCTTGTGGTCGTTCAAACATTACAAACACTCCTCTTTCGTGTGCACAGTTGTCACTCTGAAACTCAGTTTTGCAATCAGTTTGAGGTTTGAGAACGTTATCAGTTACAGAGYAGGGCACCAACTTCCTTAATTGCTTCACAGGATTTGCACATAAATAAAAAAACATTTGCCGTGACAGAAATCCCCTGAGGAACCTTAAGTTACCTTTAAACATTAGATTTACACCAAAGATTCTAAACTCTTTCTGTTTGATATAAAATCATGTTTCATCCTCAAATCAGAGGGATGGAGGAACAAACGAAGGGCCGAGTTGTGTCAGCAGCATCAAAMCAGGTCTTAATGAAAAAGACCCAAAGCACCTTGACCTCGGTAAGACTTCAGCTTTGTRGAGAGTTTTTCCAGCGTTTCGCATCATTAAAAACTAATTTCAAACCATTTTATTCGTCCAGATCCAAAATCTTCTTCCAGCTCCCCTCTGTTCCTGGAGGATCTGATTTCTTTCAGCTTTCAGGTGGCGCGTGGGATGGAGTTCCTGGCGTCTCGCAAGGTCTGTCRCTGTTTGTCCAAGAGAGATATGTTTATCTGCATAAAAAGTACCAGCAATTTTGATGGTACCCCATTATGCTACATCCCTTCCAAGTATTAAAAAAAACATTTCTTACAAAATTTCTCCTGGACACAAAGTTAAAATTCAAGATTAATGCTAAAAATCATTGCTTTGACTATGTCTATGTAATATCTGACCATAATCGCCAGATCTTGTGCTTCAGGTGTGTTTTCTTTTGTACCAAAATGTTAAAAACTGATTGATTAATTAAATCTAGATAATTAATATTGAACTTAWGAAGCCATTTACATCTGGCATCCAAAAAAGTGCCAAAAAATGTCAAARTTTGAGCTTATTTTGAAAATTTGGTCATGCACTTTCCCCAACTGTTCTGTCAGTATTTCCTGCACTGGCACCAAACTGCTCCAAAAATATTTTCAGACACTCTACTAATCAAAATATATAAGATAAGATGTACAATGTCATCTTTTTTTTTTCATTTTAGTAGCAAACAAATTATACATGACAAATTTCAAATATCATACATATTATTGCCCTACTTCATATTTAAATCATACTTTAGTGTTAAAAAGTATCTCTTGTTTTCTCTTGGACGATGTCCCTGTCTGCACCTCCACACGTGTTTCATTGTTGTGACCGTTGTGTGCCTCCATCAGTGTATCCACAGAGATCTGGCTGCGAGGAACGTTTTGTTGACTGACAATAAGGTGGTGAAGATCTGTGACTTCGGCCTGGCGAGAGACATCTACAAAGACCCAGACTACGTCCGCAAAGGAGACGTGAGTCCACCAGAGCGCTCTGGTCCCCACGTGTTTGTTTCAAAATGAGTCATGGCTTTAAAAAAGTAAAACTATCCTGATTTTAATAATTAAAAGGAGAAAACTAGCAATTTCTCTTTATTCTTGTTTATTTTTTATATGAACAACTTTAGAGGCACTCACACACACTACAAAAAAAGACACACTTTTCTTCATGTGGTAAAATCCCGRCGCTCTGATTGGCTCACAGGCTCGTCTCCCTCTGAAGTGGATGTCTCCCGAGTCCATCTTCGACAAGGTGTTCACCACCCAGAGCGATGTTTGGTCCTACGGCATACTGCTGTGGGAGATCTTTTCTTTGGGTGAGAGATCAGCGCACACTCCGGTTAGATGAGTTTGTGTGCACGCACCGTGGTTAACGCACCGTGGTGCTGATGTGTGTCCGTCCAACAGGAGCCTCTCCGTACCCCGGCCTCCACATCGACGAGGAGTTCTGCCACCGTTTGAAAACTGGAACCAGGATGCGGGCGCCAGAGTACAGCACGCCTGAAATGTGGGTTAACTTTATTTTAAATGTGCCCCCGCCCTGACAAATGCACATTAACACTGAGTTATTTTTTTCTAACCATTACATACAAAGCAGTCAGATTATATCKTAGAAACAAGCAGCTGCTCATGGTTTATAATCTCAAAATAGACTCAGCTGCAGAATTCAGCCTCAACCACAGCAATCTGGGTGTTTTTGTTTTAGCCCTCAATAACACCAGATACGAAACATGCAAACTGAGACACTTTTAGATATGTGACCCATCACATCGAAATGAGGATTAAGTCAAACTTGGTCAAAATGACCTCATCATATTTTCAGATTCTTGGCTTTAAAAGTTACATTTTGATACTTCAATCATCCTGATATCATCAGTAGATCCAGAGATATGATTTAATTTGTCTTGTTGGTTACAATAATATATAAAT